CCTTTTACACCACAGTAGAACATTGTAACTTTGTCCTAAAAGTAATGGGGAGCCACTCAAGAACTGCAGGTTAGGGAGTATAGTATAGTGCCTGGCTGCAATAAACTGTTTAGGTCCTCCCTAAATTTGTATGTTGAAATCCTAATCCCCAATGTGATGGTATTAGGGGGTGGGGCCTTTGAGAAGTGATTAGGTGATGAGGGTGGTACCCTCATGAATGGGATTAGTGCCCTTATAAAAGAGACCTGAGAGAACTTCCTCAACCCCTTCTGCCATGTGAGGACAGAGAGAGAAGATGGCCATCTATCAAGCAGGAAGAAAGCTCTCACAAGACACTCAATCTGCCAGCACCTTGGATTTCTTAGCCTCCAGAACTGTGAGAAATGTGTTGTGTAAGCCACTTAGTCTATTTCGTTATAGCAGTGTGAATGGACTAAGACACTGGCACATAATGCAGTAGGCCTTAAATAAAGCCTGCTGATTAGATGTGACTCCATTACTATGCCAGTTCAAGATTTATACCAATTTTTTGATAGTCCTTCAGTAGAGATGAGAGAGATGCATTGGATCATCTTAGGCCATTCTAGATTTCCTTGAGTGCATTAAGCTGGACTAAATCACTCCAATCTTAATCAAATGCACAGATTAATAGAAATTCATTCTAGAAATTACGTAGAAAAGTGGATTTAGCTGATATGGTCTTCACCAAGATGGAGACTGGAACCTAACATTAAGTTGCTAAATTTTCAGAAAAATATAGCTTTCAGAATAATCTGATAACAATTATCATTTACTGTGTGCCAGGCAACGTGTTATGTAGTTTATGGGGATTATTTCATTAATCTTCACAATCACCATTTAAGGTACATATCATTTTTTCATTTTAGAGATGAAGAAGCAACCTTATAAATGTTAAGAAATTCACATAAAATCACACAGGTCATGAGTGCAGAACGGAGCAGCTAATGTCAAGATGAGTACTTCCCAGCTTCAACTGATTATCTATTAATTTTCAGAAATCACTGGGATTAATCTCAGCCTCAGAATCATCAGGGTACAAGACATCATGGCTATCCATTGCACCTCATATAGTTGGCATTCACCCTTCCAGCCCCAAGGGTGGCCCAGCAGGGCCCGGAATTATAGTCCCTGGACCACCATTGAGGTGATGAGAAGCAGCAGCCTTATCTGTTTATTCTAATTTGCCAATAATTAGATATACTTATTTTCCAAGTACACTGTGACATGGAAAAAGTTGAGAAGCTCTACTTTAAACTAATCTAATCTTCCTCCTCCTCCTCAGAATCCTCTGGAAATCCCAATCTGTGATAAGAAAACTCCCCTATACCCTCAATTTATCCTTGGAAAGTCGCTGAAGACACTGCTTCCCTGCAATCCTGAGGACAGTATAACCCAGCCCAGGAAGGACTGCAGCAAAGATGTGTCCTCCTAGAGTGTGGCTTTTTCCTTTCTCCTTCTGCCTCCTGACCAACCCCAGTACTTCCCCAGATATCTCTGCATGGTGTGGCATGCCCCCCTACTCTTGTAAACTGCAAGTAATAAAACTTTCAATGGCAATGAACTCCTGTGTCAATCTAGTCACCTCCGTAAATTAAATCTTGGGCGCACTCAAAACAGTTGTCACCTCTGTTATAGCAGTCAACATATACTCTCTGATATTATGTATATAGCAGATAATTTCTTGTCCAGAGTTTAATTTTCCCAAGGGCAGGAACTAAGTTTTACTAAACTGTGTGTAGCATATGTGCACACACACACACACACGCACACACACACACACACAGTCAGTATTTACCCAACTGAAATGTCTGATGAACTGTGACCAATTCCTGTCTCTTGGCAAAGCCATTTCCTTGAGATTGTTCTTTTCTCATAGCAGCAATACACAGAACATGTGAAATGGCTCTCATTTTCCACAGAGAAGAAATAAAAAGCCAGCCCCATAAATATAAGGCATTGCCTGCGCTGCCAGGTCCCAGCGAGAGTGAGGGCTGTTCAGGCACTCAAAACTATAGCTCAGGACTCTGCCTCAGTGGACAAACTGTGACTACATTCATTGGAAAGTAAACAGAAATTATTTTTAGCATGTAATTGGATTGGGAATAGGGGGAGAGAGACTGTTTTCAAATAAATACACATTGCTTCTTAAGTACTCCACTCCCAGGATTTGCTCCATTGTGTTAAAAAATATCTTGCGAGTTCTAGAACTTTAACAAAAATGCCTTCTATCCTTTGTGATCTCTAGCTGAATAACTTGTGCTATGCAAATATGGGTTAAGTAGAAATCTTTAAGTTAAATAAGTAACATATACTCATTGGCTTTTAAGCTGGTCATCTGGTATTGGTAAAAGGACGTGGATTTGCAGTCTGAGGACCAGTGTTCCAAGCTTGGGCTCTGTCATCTAATAGCTATGTGACCCTGATAAATCCTTTAACTTTCCCAGTTTTTTTCTTTATAGTTAAATATGTAGAAATCCCTCGTTGGATAACCATTTTGAGGATTAAATGTTATAATGTATGTTAAAGGTGCTTCATAACCTATAAAGCACTGCACAAACATTAGTCATCTATTCCATTGGAAGTTCCAGAGACTGGCATGAGGCTTGACACAGCTTGTGCTCAGTATTTGTAGCATAAATGAGTAAATCCCACTGATGAAATGTGTGAGCTCTGGCAAGAAATATCTCTACCTCTATCTTCCTTTGGCCTCCTCTGATACCGCTGTTCCCCTTGTTCACTGGACTCCAATCATACCATCCTTTTTCCTGTTCCTCCAACACATTAAATTCATTCCTGCCTCAGGGCCTTTGCACTTGCTGTTCCCTCTGCCTGGAATGCTCTAATTGAACTCTTCGGCCATCCCCTTCTCGTCAATCAGGTCTTAAGTCAAATGTCATTTCTTCAGAGCCTTTCTCTGACTAACTTAATCTTCCTCCCATATCATTCACCCAAGATGTATTACTATTTTCTCCTTAGCATTTATTACTACCTGTCAACTTATTATACTCTCTTCCACTAAAATAGAAAACGCTCTACTAGAGCTTTCCTGCCTAGTTCACCATTGTATTCCAAAGCCCAAAACAACATCTAGCTCATAGTAAACCCTAAACATTTGAATAAATGAGGTTGAAATAAGGGAATTATATCAAAAGTTCCATTCATTCAACAAATATTTTGTATGTACCTATAAAGGTCCAGGCTGTATTTCTAGGTGCTGGGGATTCTGCTGAGAACAGAATAAAAATCCTTGCTTTCCTTGAGGCTTGCCTGTTAGTGGGGAGACAAATAATAAACAAGATAAAAAGTAAATATAAATGATGTCTGATGACTAGTGTTAAGAAGGAAAAAAAATAAAGGAGGAGAGGACATGAAATGTGTGTAGAGGGGTAAAATTTAGATAAGGTAGCCAGAGAAGAAAAGGAGAGACTGAGCTATGAGGACATATGGGGGAAATGCATTCCAGCAGGCCAGGGTAACTGGGACAGAAATGAAGGGGTTGGAGGCTAACACAATGGGAAATGAGGGAAGTTAAGTGAAGTCAGATTGTGTAGGGTCCTGTTGGCTAAACAAAGGCCTTTGACTTTTTTGAAGAGTGAGATAGTAAAGTGTTAGAGAATTTAAGCACCGGGCACACAATATGGCTTGTTTCAAGAGGGCCGCTGGGGCTGCTATGCTGGGAATATATGAAGGGCAAGGGAAAGAACCAGTGAAGCCTCTACTACAATAACCATGGCAACAGATGGTGGCTCTGAAAGACTGGGGGAGGGGCAAGTATGGGATTGAGATAGAATTTCGGGTTTGACAGTTGGAGAGTTTAGGGGGAAGTCTGGGTTAGCAATTGGAACCCAAACGTTATCTGTTATAATCATGGAGATGGAGCCCAGCTTTACCATTTACTAGTAGTAAACTCTTGAGTTAACCATCTCTAGGTTCCGGGCCTCAGTTTCCCTACCAGTGAAATGGGGAAAATATTCCCACACAAACAGGGCCTTCACGAGAACAAAATGAGATGTGGCAAAGGCTGACCGTGAGCAAGGTGAGAACCCTGAGCCAAGAAGTGCACAAGGAAGGGGGCTGCTGTAGAACCGGCGACCCCCTGTCCCGAAGGAAGGGAGCGGCTGTAGAACCGGCGACGAACTTTCAGAACTACAGCAAACGCTCAGAAATCCCATCAGCGACGAGGTGAAAAAAGCGCCAGAGCCGACACCTCAACGCGGTCTGTGGTGCCCAACCTCGCGAGATTTGTTGGCCGGGCAAAGTCATCCTACCAACCACATCTCGCGAGACCAAGGTTCAGGAGCGGCTATCAGCAGGTTAGGGATTGCGGGGAAAATGGAGTATACCGCGTTGGGCACAGTGGAGACGGCGGACAGCGGCGGAGCCCCGCCATACAACATCGCAGAGGAGCGGGAGGGCCGGGAACCCGACGGGCTGCGCTTCGACCGCGAGAGGGCGCGCCGCCTATGGGAAGCAGTGTCCGGGGCCCAACCAGTGGGGAGGGAGGAAGGTGAGTCCGGGAGTCTCAGAGGTAGGAAGCCCCTCGCCCTCCTGCCCGTTTCTCTGGGAGTGGCGGAAGCGTGGGGCGAGAACGCGGACCAGCCCTTGGGGTCTACGGTCACACCCTCTAGCTCCCGGCCCGCCCCCTTGCGTGACGCGCCCCGGGACTCCCGGACTCATGCACCCCATCGGGCCCGGCTCCCCCGAAAATCGGCCAGCTCCCCGGAAAATTGAGGCCGCGGCACCCCCAGAAACAGGGAACCGCGTGCAAGTGGTCTGGGGCCTTTTCAAGCTCAGGCTGCGGGTGCTTTCTGCGCGGTCTTCCTCACCCACCAGAGCGCAGCTCTTCCCAAACTCGTGGACTCTAGTCCCCGTTCATGCCTTCTCGGAGACCCACAGAACCTTCCCCGCCGGACTCACCATTTTATTCCTGACTCCATCGTCCTTGTCTCCAGGCTAGTGTCTCTTGCATCCCTTCTGTCATGCCCCACACTTCCAACGGTCTTGGCTCAAGAAGGCTGTCTTATCCTCACGTTCTCCCTGGCCTTGGTGATTGCGTCCTGGCTTACTCCTGTTTCTAGATGTTTGGTCTCTACCAGCTGGGTCACTTTTCTGAGATGGGGGCCAAGAGCCTGAGAAACAGGGACACTTCTGGGCTGAAGCTTCCCAGCTCGCTCTGCATTTTACCTGGCAATGGAGAGAGGAGATGGAAAGAGCTTGCCTGACCTGGTTGTGTGTTCCTCTTCACAATTTTTAGCAGATCTAACTGCTTAACTCTCCCCAAAAGTACAGGAACCATCTGGGCGTCTGTGCTAATCCTGTCAAGTAAACTGCAGGACAGTCAGACTTCTCTAATGGTTTGTTTGCTGAACAGACTAATTTTGGAAGTGTAATATGTTGCCTGTGAACTGATTGCCCTGAGAAAAAATGGAATTTCTGACCACATCCAAGGACTATAAGTTCGTTTGAGGTGGTACACAGATCTATGTATATAGACCCTGATATACATTTCTCTAGTTTAAAAACTAGTCTAGTCTGACTCCTAAGTTATTATGGGCTCACTCTCTCCCTCATACTTTCAAACTTGTGTAGTGTAAAAGTTCTTATCTACCATCTAGAAATTTTCCTATTATTAATTTGACATTCACTGATGCCTGCTCTATTCCCAAGACTGGCTGGGCATCAGAGCTACAGAGATGAGGAAAATACTGTCTTTGCTCTGGAGAGGCCTGTAGTCCAGGTAGCAGACACCAAAATAGTTTCAGTGTAATGTGTAGTGGGTACAGGGGAGAGGAATACCTAAGAGTTGGGGTGCACAAAAAGAGGAAGTGACCTTTGTCCTCAGGGAACAGAACACGGCAGCTGTGTGCTGAAAAGTGAGCTGTCTCTGTGTGTATGACTGTACAGTGTCACTTACAACTCAGTTCATTTCCCTACTCTCTCCACTTCTGCAATATTTATGAGGTCTAGGTAGATACCTGTAACACCACATTCTACTCACCTTGGGGTTTTTGTTTTCCTCTTAGCACTTTCATTGAGATAATTTAGATACCATAAAATTCACCCATCATAACCATACAAGTCAATGATTTTTAGTAAAAGTATACAGTTATGTAGCCATAATCCAGTTTTAGAATATTTCTATCACTTGTGCTCCTTTTCTTTAAATCCCCACTCCTACCTCCTGCCCTAGGCAACCACTGATCTGTTTTCTGTCTTTATAAATTTGCTTTTTATGGATGTGTCATGTAAATGGAATCATACAATATGTAGTCATTTGCATTTGGCTTCTCTCCCTCAATATGTTTTTGAGTTCAGCCAAATTGTAGTGTATATTAATACTTCACGCCATTTTATTGATAAGTGGACCTCCATTGTATGGATTGCCAGAGGTGACAATCTCTACCTTTTGGGTGAGTTGTTTAGACTATTCACATTTAATTTAATTATTGATATGGCTAGATTTACATTATTTTGCAATTTATCTCCTTTTTCCTCTCTTTACTGGCTTCTTTTGTATTAAGTATTTTCTGGTGTACCATTTTAATCCTCTATTGAATTTTTTTTTTTTTACTCTTTAAAGTTATTTTCTTGGTGTTCTAGGGACTACAGGATACATCTTAACTCATCACAGTCTATTTAAATTAATACTAATAATGGTAAAATATGAAAGCATTCCTCCACTTTAGCTCCTTTCCTCCCCCTCTTTTGTGCTATTATTGTCTAATAATATATTACCTCTATGTATGTTATAAACCTAACTAAACAGTGTCATAATTGCTGCTTTATACAATGTCTTTTAAAGAAGAGGAGAAATTAGAAAAAAATATGATGTCCTTTATATTAACCCACATATTTACCATTCCTGGTGTTTATTTCTTCCTCTGAACTCAGGTTACTGTTTGGTATCCTTTCTTTCAGCCTCAAGAGCTTCTTTTAGTATTTCTTGCACGGCAATGAATTCTCTGTGTTTATCTGGGATTGTCTTTATTTTATCTTCATTCTTGAAGTATAGTTGTCTTATTCTGTTTTTAATAACAGCTTTATTGACACCTAATTCATATACCATAAAATTCATATTTTAAAATGTGCATTTAGTGTATTCACAGAGTTGTGCAGCCATTATCACTGTCTAATTTCAGAACATTTTCATCACCCTAGAATGCTATACCCATTAGCAAGCACCCTTGACAAGTACTTACTTATCTTTTTTCTGTTCATAAGAGTTTGCCTATCCTGGATGTTTCATATAAATGGAATTTTATAACATATGACCTTTTGTGACTGGCTTCTATCACTTAGCATAACGTTTGAAGGATAGTTTTGCTGGATAGAATTCTTGGTTGATAGTTTTCTTCTTTCTCACTACTTTGAGTATGTCCTTCTACTGCCTTCTGGCCTTCATTGTTTCAGATGAGAAGTTAAGTCATTAATCAAATTATTCCACTGTACATGATGAGTCATTTTCCTCTTCATGCTTTCAAGATTCTGCCTTTATATTTCAATAGTTTTACTGTGATGTGTCTAGGTGTCAGTCTCTTGGTATTTATCCTACTTTGGGGGCCTTGAGATAGTAGGGTGTTTAGATTAATGTTTTTCTTAGCTCAGATGTGAGGAGTTTTCAGGCCTTATTCAAGCATTTTCTGCTCCTTTCTCTTCTCTGCTAAGCTTCCTCTCACACAGATGTTGGCATGCTTGATGTGTTTCTCAGGGCTCTGAGGTTTGCTCATTCTTTAATTTTCTTTTTCTCTGTTCATCAGACTGAATATTTCTATTAATTTATCTTCAAGTGCACTAATTCTTTTGCCATTTCGAATCTCTCGTTGAGGTCCTCTAGTGAAATTCTCATTTCGTTTATTGTTCATTTCATTCATTATTTTATTTCAGCTCTGTTTTATACACATTCTAAATAGAAAACTTTAGCACCATATCATCAGTGCCCTTACATTTGTTTTCTTCATGCCCTTTTCATATGATGAAAACCTGAGCTGCTTGAGACAATCAATAAATATGGATTCACAAAGTAGATGGAAGTACTAAGGCTAAGTGACCTTAATGGGATAACTGTCCAGTTCTTTCTTAGAGACCACCTGCCTGTTATACCACACTGCCTAACCAGTGTGACCCATTATATCCAGCTTCTTTTTCCTAAGATCTTCTGTTGTTTGCTGCTTTGTAACTATAGCTGTACCTAGAAACCCGCTACCTCCTAATAAGCCATAATAAACTGGGTAGTAAGTAGGTTTCATCTCTCTCTCTAAGAACCAGCTCCAGTCAATCGATGAATTTCTATAGAGCTGAAGTGAAGGTTATAAGGCCACATCTAGGCCCAAGGAATAACAAGTCAGTATAGATCAGCAGTGTTCACCTACGAGTTGGAATATAGGAGTTCAGTAATGCAGTAACCAGCCATCCTGGCCCTAGGTCATCTTAGGGCAACCAAAGACACCTTAAGTCACCTAAAGACAATTGCAACTCAGATTGAAATACCATTATCATTTTGTCTCCCAGATACTACTTCCTCTAAATTTCTTAAGTTTATGAATTATCTTGCTTTCCCACACTGACTTTTTTTGTCCCTACTTCATTGACCCTGTGAAAATCAGCCCTTAACTTCATACCCTAGATCTCTCAGCCTCTGCCCCATACATCTTCTTATTGACTACAATTTGGATAGAAATTAAATCCTGCCAATCAAATGACTTCTCGTAAGATTTGGAAGGCAGAAATGCAGTGAAGACCATATTCCTGTGGCTTTTGGCTATTGCTGCTGTCAAGAAAAGTCATGAAACTATGAGATCTTCCTACATCAGTGTTCCAGCACCCATTCTCCAGCTTCATAGGTTGAGAGGCAGATTCAATGACAGTGGAAGCTTCTGACTTCCAGCAAGACTGCAGTGGAGGCCTCAGAGGCTATAGCTTGCCTATTGGAACAATTATGCATTGTTCCTAGAGATGTTTCTGGTGGCCCAACCTAGTCCCTTCAGTCTTTCTAATGATTTTCCAAGCACCTAATTTCTTACATCAAACCTTTGTCACTCTGAAGAGGTAGTTGATAGTTGGATTAGAGTTATATCAAGGCCACTTCAGAATTATGATAATTCATGTTAAGTTCTTTTTCTCTTTGGGGTCCTCAGATTTTTCCAGCCTCATGAACCTGTCATGGGCTTTGTGGGTCAGGAATTCAGGAAAAGCTTGGCTGGACAATTCTTAAACAGAGTTTCTTAGGCAGTTTCAGTCAGATGGTGGCTAGAGCTGAAAATACCTGTGGGATGGAGTTTCCAGGAGCTAGCCAGATATCTCTTTTTGGATAGTCGTAAGACCTTTCCTTGTGGTTTTATGCATGGAATAGTTTGGGCTTCCTCATAGTTTGGAAGAAAACTGCTTGGTAACTGTAGACTTTAAGAGCAAATATTCTCAACTTGATTCTTTTTGATCATCTATTTCTGTGCTTAGTGGTCAACCAGTGATTCAACAGAGCTTGTTCTCCAGCACCTAGAGCCAGTAAGGCCTCAGTCCTCTGCTCTTGGATCTGTGTGAAGGTAGGGAAGCACATTCAAAGCTCAGATCATTTTAAAGTCTCCCCAGGCTTTTACTTTCTGTCAAGCCCTTTTACATCCTTTCTGCACATGTGCACAGCCTCAGAGTTGCCCAGGAGCGTGTGGCCAACTTGGGCTCTCTTGGTCTCCACTGTCACGCAGTCTCAGTCAGGCACACACTTGCCCCAACCACGACCTCAGCCTCAGGCTAAGAGAACTTTGGCCCTTCCTGCTCACCTGCCCCTAGGATCATCACTTCCACCAACAGTAGCACTAGGTATGCCTGTTTCCCACCACTCCAAACCGATTTCCCCATTCCACAAGGAAGCTATTGGTTCTCACATCCTGCCTCTTCCTGGCAGCTTCTCTGTGCTGAGCACAAGAAGATGAGAGCAGCCCCAGATTCCCACTGTTCTCACCCAGAGTTCAGCATGTGTACAAACATAAATGCTCTCAGATTGTTAAGTGCCTTTGGTCAATTTCCAGAGTGCTGATGTGGTGGTTTTTGTCAGTTTTGTCAGTTTTATAGTTACTTTTTGTGTGTGGGGGGAGGATCTCACTCTGCCATAGCTCCTTTTATATTCAACTTCACTTCCTCTGCCTGACTTCTAAATTTGGAGAGTCCCAAGGCTCAGTCCCAGAATCTCTTTCCTTTTTCATCTATACTCAGATTCTCTTCAGTCCGAAGTCTTAATTATGACTGATATACCAATGATTCCCAATTTATATCTCCAGCTCTGACCTCTCTCTCAAGCTCCAGATCTGAATCTCCATATGGATAGAGATACGTGATATCTCTACCCATATGTCTGATAGACCACTCACATTTAACATAGCCGAAAAAAAAAAAAAAAGTCTTTTATTTCTCCTCCAAGGCTATCTTCCTCCAGTTCTTATCTCATCTGTACAGTTTCTCAAGTTCAAAACCTAGGAGTTATCCTTGAATCCTCTCTTTCCTTCACATCCCCACCCCACCCCCATCCAGTCTAATAGAATGTTAGATCTATTTCCAGAAAGTAATTCCAAATTCATCTTCTTTTCTCTGTCTCCATTGCCAACCTGCCTTGTCCAAACTTCCATCATCACTGGCCTAGAAGACTGCAACAGCCTCCTCTCTGTCCTCCCTGCTTCCTTTTCTGTCCCCATACAGTCTGCTGACACAGTGATCAGAATAGCCTTTTTCAAACCTAAGGCAGATCTTGTTGCTTCTTGTTGCACTAATAATAAAATTCGTAGTTTTTATCATGACATATTCATTCATCATGGTCTGATAGGCCTCATGCAGTCTCTCCCACTTTATTTCCTACCACTTTTCTCTCACTCACCATACTCTAGTCACGCCAGCCTTCTCTCCATTCCTTGAACATGCTAACCTCATCCCTTGGCACTGGCACTTGGCACTGTCACCTGCTGGAACACTACCCCTGACCTTGTGGCTGATGCCTCCTAGGGTGGTCTTCACTTATATACTGTCCCCATCACTCTCTTTGTTTTCATAACATTTCTCATTCTCTATCACTATCTTGCTTTTTTGTTTACTTTATACTCTGTCTTATTTGTTGATACGGCCCTAGCATGAAGTCCGGTGCTGGCACATAGAAGGCATTCTGGATATATGTTTGTGGACTGTGTGAGTGTACAGGCCAGAGCGGTGCACTTCAGTCATTCAGCAGGTATTCACCAAGCCCCTACTGTAGATCAAGTGCTGTACTAGGGATACAAAGCCATAAATGACATGATCCTTGCCCTGTTTAGTCTTTGGGAGTAAGAAAAACCCCATATCCTTTAATAAAACAACATCCAGCATGTCCAGGCATGGAGGAGATGGCTGGACTCTGCCTCCTGGATACCACCTTCCCCTTGTGGGCTTTCTAAGGAGCCTCTTATCCTCCCTTGAAAAAGCTCTGGCCCCGATGTGTTCACTTCCCTTCCCTTGGTTTCTCTGAAGCACAGCTGAGGCAGGCAAAATCTTTCACAAAAATTTACCAAACACTATTAGAGAAAAATGGAGAAATAAACAAGAGACCATAAGAGGGGGAAATACAACCAGACAACAGCCCTTCTGCCCAAAAGGGCTGGCACAGATATGTTTTAGTTCTTGTGAAGTAGAAAGAAGCACCTTTTTAAAAGTTCTCCCCCAAGACTTTCCCTCCAGGGCATCTTGATTGCTTTTTGGTCTGGAGTAAAAGATAAAAAACATGGGCTTGCCATCCCCTCACAGTTTTCTGGACTCTGCTCTGCCTCATATTATCAGTCATGATAGAATCCATGCCTTGGGTAAGGTTTTACTCCCTCCCCATAAGGTAAGGCTTTGTTCTCCAGGCCCAACAGTAAAAACAAGTTAATTGCATGGTCTCCTACAATGGAACTTGTGTAATAGTTTGGGTGATTTTAAATGTTTCAAAGTCAGATCAAGAACAGTGAGAAAATTTTTAACAGTTATCAAGTTTTAGATTAAGAGATATCATAGGTAAAATATCAAAAATAATTAATTTGCTCAGAACCACAAGGCTCAGAAAATAATTTGACAATAAGATTGAGCATGTAGTAAGCCAGGCACCGTGCTAACTGGTTTATATGGAAAACCACAAGGAGAATCCCTTCTGTGAGGTACATGTTAATCACCCTCATTTATACAAAGGAAAACAGTGGGATAAAGAATAATTCATTTCTGTAACATCACACAGCTAGTAAACAGCAGCATCAGGATTTGAACCCAAGTCAGCATGCCTAGGGAACTCAAGTTCCTAACCATAATTTGTACCCAAACATTTGGCTGGTATCAGGTAATAGTTTATGTTTACTATGTTAGAATAAGATTAATTTACCTTTTCTCATGAAGATAAAAGATCAACACTATCTTCTGATACTTATCCTCCAAAATTTCTTTGCAAATCTTCTGATTCATTCAAAAGAAAACCAATGTTTAATTTTAATGTTTCCTTCATAAATAGAAATTCATGTTATTTTCATATAAAAAGAATATTATAGTCTTTTAATAATTAAACCTCAAAATTTTCTAACCGGTTCTGTGAATGGTTATACCAATGTAAATTTAAATAATTAAAAAATGCTATTGACCTTTTAGTGGAACAAATTTGAAGGTTGCATTATTTTTAATTCCACAGAAAATTTTCCACAAATAATAATTATTATTACAATAAATTTTTTAGAAGAACAGTGAGACAAAGATTCTCTTTTCACGTCTTTTAATCCTTCCAATTTCTATCAGGGAAGAAGTCTCAGTTGGGTGCTACGATATCTTAACACCGCTCCCCATAGTTGCTGCTCTTACTGTCCTTTTTAGGGAGCACTCCAAGCTTCTGACACCAGTGTCTGGCTAGAATTGTGTCATTTTTATTGGTGTCCTCTTAATTTTATGATCTAAAGATTGCTTTTTAAAAGAATTTAATTACACAGTGTGGTGACTATAATAACTCTGTGTTATATATTTGAGAGACTCTAAGAGAATAGATCTGAAAAATTCTCATTGTAAGGAAAAAAATTTTAACTGTATGGTGATGGATGTTAGCTAGATTTATTGTGGTGATCCATTCACAATATATACAAATATTGGGTTATTATATACCTGAAACTAATTTAATGTTATATGTCCGTTATATCTCAACTGAAAAATTTTAAAAACAATTTAGTAAATAAAGTTGGCTAACATTACAAAGTAAGTAATAGTATAGGTGGGGTGAGAACACAGCATGAGTCATGAAAACAATAGGGGAAGAGCGACTGAGTTCTACCAAAATATAATAGTGTGGCATTCCATTACTCAGGGTCTGTGTTTGAGACAGGATTCCAAGACGGTGCTACTGAGGCAGGTTTTGAACTCAGATTTTTATTTTCCTCTCTGTAGTAGAGCACATGATCCAGAAGAACCAGTGTCTCTTCACCAACACCCAGTGTAAGGTTTGCTGCGCCTTGCTCATTTCAGAGTCCCAGAAGCTGGCACACTACCAGGTAAGCCATTGTACTTTAGAACTGCTTTACTCTCTAGACCCCGTTCTAAGCCCGCTTCTCCCTGGCTTGCACAGTGAAGTATAATTCCTTCTTAGCCGCCCAGATATTGCCTCCATGCATGTTGACTATAACTTGAAGACTGACTTAAATTTTCCTGAGTCTCATTTCTCCCCTCCAAATCAGGATCATTATACTTATATCTTCCCTTGTAGCTCTTATAGTAGAAAGTACATGTTTTGGCTTTAAGTAGACCTGGGTTTGAATCACAACTCTGCTGTCATCTTGGGCAAGAAACCTCACCATCTTCAGCTGCCGTTTCCTCATCTGTAACATAGAGAGGATGATGATTTCCTCAGATTGTTGTGAAGATTAGCTCGATGGCATGTAAAGTGCTTTGAACAGGGTAGGAACTCAGTAAACTAGGTTTCTTCCCCCACCCTCTCCTCAGAAATTTTGTGAGGATGAATCAGGTGAAAATCTAGTAAGTGTTTTTGAGTGCCTTAGATATGAAATGGCATTTGGCTATCTTTGATCTTTTTCCTGGGTTCTTGCAGAGCAAAAAACATGCCAACAAAGTGAAGAGATACCTAGCAATCCATGGAATGGAGACATTAAAGGGGGAAACGAAGAAGCTAGACTCAGATCAGGTAATCCAGAAGCCATGTTGAGACCGCTCACTTCCTGATGGAGCTGGCAGACAGATTGGTGCGGTGGAAAGAGCACAGGCTTTGAGTCACACTAACTTGGCTGCAAGTCCCAGCCCTGTCGTATGACTTGGGCAAGTTTTATTACTTCTCTGAACCTTTATTTCTTCCTCTCTAAAAATGAGGATGCTAATACCAACTATGTTGTAGGATTTTTCCAAACTAAAATGAGGGAAGGAAAAAGCACCCAACACAGAGCCTACCTCATAGTAGGGGCTCAGTAAATAGAGCCGTCATTATGCATTTCCACCCAGTGGTTTGTAGGAGTAGGACAAGAAGCTGCCCACTCACCACTCAAGGAGACAAAGCGGAAGGAAGCCAGGCTACTTGCTTTCTTGAGATCAAGGAAAAGAGCTGAGTTCAGAACTTGACTGTTTGAATAAACAAGTGGAAGAAACACCTTTCCAGATGCCTGCTCTGATAGAAATGTAAACACATTTGCTTTTTGGCTTAGAAATACTATGAGAATTATGCTGAAACAACTTCAGTCCTTCAGGGATACTATAATTTTTGTTTCATGAGAGGCTGTGCAAACGCCATGGGATAAGAAGTCAGCAGCATAGGACCCAATTCCAGCTCTGCAACTTACTTGTTAGGAGACTGGGTAAATCACTTAACATGTCTATAGTTCACCCATAAAATAGAGATAATAATTCCTACCTCTTAAGAATATCATAAGGTAAAACTCCAATTCCCAGTGAATCCTCAATGAATCAGAGTTTGCAGACTGTCTTCTACTGTAGTATCCTTGGGTTTGGAAGGGCCATGCTCAGCCTTTCTCCACTGCACTGGGCTCAGCCCTGATTGGCCTTCTCCCTATGATTTAGAATTCAGAAAGATAAGATCACTTCACCTCTTTGTATCTGGGTTCCTTCAACTCTTGAGGTGACCCAGTAGTTGAAATAAGATCACAGGCTCCTACCTTCCCCGCACCCCTCCGCCCCAATACAGAATTATCCAGCCCAAAATGTCAACAGTGCCAAGGTTTAAAAATGCTGTCTTCAAGTGAATAGTGTATTCAGAGATCAGGACTTCTCAAGAAAGAGCCTGGGAGCCCTTAATATAGGCTTGAAATAGATTGTTTTCTAGTAATCATAATCGACAACTGAAATCCAATGATCTACTTGTTCAGCAAACCCTGAGCATCTGCTGTGTGCCAGACTCCAGCAAGGTGCTAAAGATAGGAAACAAAGATGAGTCAAACAATCCATACCCAAATGTTAGACTTTAGTTCAAAGAAGAGCCTCCTTAGCTATGATGCTGTCAGTTTAGGATGACAGTTGGTATGATAAAGAGGTCTGTTTCATACACTCTGAAAGTACAAAGGGGGAACAAGATTAATTCTTCCTGGAATACTTACATAAAGTGGCTCAATGATTGTTTATTGAATGATTTTCTTGAATAACAGTCTCCCAGAAGAGGTAATATTTAATCTGGGCTTTGAAAGCTTAAGCAGACATATGCCAGGCAGGAAAGAAGGGAAGATCATCCTAGGCAGCAGGGAAACAGCCGAGAATAAAGTGGGGAATGGTGAGTAGGGCCTGGTATGAGATAGGGAGAAGAATCCAGAAAGGTAGGTTGGGGGTAGTGTGTGAAGGGGGCTTTGAATGCCCATTTTCCTGTGGGTAGTGGGGAACCATTGGAGATTTTCTGGCCGGACAGTGGCGTGATCAGACCTGTGTTCTTTCTTCCAACCAGAAGAGCAGCAGAAGCAAAGACAAGAACCAGTGCTGCCCCATCTGTAACATGACCTTTTCCTCCCCTGTCGTGGCCCAGTCGCACTACCTGGGGAAGACCCACGCAAAGAACTTAAAGCTGAAGCAGCAATCCACTAAGGTGGAAGGTACTGGTTTTCCTGAGTAGTGCTTTATTGGGACCCCTCCCGTCCCCAGGGCATTCATGCCAGGTGCTCCCAGAAATTCTCACTGGGGCCAAAGACTAGGAGAGATTGAATTGCTTTTTAGAGCTCTTCAAAATGTCAAGTAGACCCATCTTCATTGAAATGCGGCCTCAAGAGTTGTGCTCACCTAAACTCCCTTTCTTAAGTTACATCAGTTTTTCTCTGTAGAAGCTTCATAGCCTTGAGCTTTTGTTCTGACTAATATTATAACTCAAGAGTGCCAAAGTCCTCCAGGCACGCACACTGTGAGAGCATTCTAACCCCTACCTCTCCCACTTAGATTTTTTCCCTCCCAGCATCTACCTGCCTTTCTTACCATATGTTCCAAGTTGAAAGCTAAATCCTTGTCTTTTTTATGCACTCAGGTTATGCCCTGCTCACTTTAATCCTCAAAGCTGCCTGTTCTCCTCAAGACAGGGACTTGCCTTTCAAAGCTGAATACATCAGTGCTGCCACTAGTGCCCAACAAACTACGTTTGCCACTGCCATGAATTCATTCCCAGTGCAGTGACTTCTAAAATAGCCTCCTTTATCTTGTCTCCACTGGGGCCCTTGCTTTCATCTCATTAACTCCTGACTTTCTGGAATTTTTAACATCTGCTAACTGCAGTTAGTCAAGAGTGAAAGTTCTTTGATCTTTATTTCATTTTTTCTTGGTAATTTTTGCTTCTCTCTTATATTGGACCAAGAATTAGACTACACTATCTATAATATTTATTATCCTTTTTTATGTTACTATATTATGAAAATAAGACAATGTTTTAGAAGGTTTCGAAGACTGAGTAAAAAAATCACTCATACCCAAATATAGTTATTCGTGCTATGAAACAACAGAATATGGACTCCGCAGTCACAGATGCCCAGGTTTAAATCCCAGGGCTGCTATTTACCATCTCCATGACTTGACTTCTTCATACCTGAGTGTCTTCACCTATAAAATGTTGATAATTCGATCTACTTCCTAAGTTGTAAGGATAAAGTAATGTATATAAGGAACCTAGGACCTAATAGGTGCTCAGTAAATGACAGCTGCTATTGTTAGTATTATCACCCTCATCAAGATAGCCAATAAATGGACTCCCTCCATCAAATTCAGTAGTTGATCAGGTATCTACCACCTGGAGCATGTCATAGGCCTTGCTTCTGGTTTGTTCATTATTAAGTTATACTACTACTAATTGCTTTTGTTTAAAGTCTTTTGGTACCATTCATGGTACCAAAGATATTAAACATTAGGCCAAGAGAAACCAGCTTAAGAGCAGAACTTTATAAGTTTACTTACCTTAGTTTTATATGGACTCATCTTTCCATAAATGGGAAAATTCTCTGGAATATGCCTGGTCCCAAAGAGTCCATATTCAAAAGTCCATATTCTCCATATCCACTTTTGGCCTTTGCCACATGCACATATGTTCTAAGAAGCTGTAATCATCTTGCATGTACCCTGCTTTTACTTTTCATATAATTTTGTAGTTTAAGCACATTTTCATATTATTACATGAATTTATAGCTATTTCTGAAATTAAACATTTTTCTAATGTAAAAGTAATATAAGCATGTTATAGAAAATATGGAAAATATAGATAAATGGAAAGAAAAAATACCCATAATTTTACCATTCAGAGATAACCGCTGTTAACATTTTATAGTACTGTTTCTCCTGTAATCTTTTGTTATGTGTATGTGTGTATTTCTGTTTTATGTAAATCTAGATTAAATCCAAATATATGTGCACTTAAACAGAATATTTTAAATCAGCGGTCCCCAACCTTTTTGGCACCAGGGACCAGTGCTCCTATGAGAATCTAATGCCTGATGATCTGAGGCGGTGATGCTAGCACTGGGGAACTGCTACAAATACAGATGAAGCTTCCCTCACTCACCTGCCACTCACCTCCCACTATGTGGCCCGGTTCCTAACAGGCCATGGACCAGTAGCATCTGTAGCCCAGGGATTGGGGATCCCTGCTTTAAATAATCTTACTGTTTTTATAAAAACAATGCATACTCATTATGAATAATTCTAGTCCAAACAATGTAAAAGGTACAGAGGAAAATAGATTTATCACCCAGATTCTACTACCAAGAGAAAAACACTGTTAACATGTTAGTAACATTTCAAAATACCAGTACATACATACAGACTGTGTACGTATTTTTTAACAATGATAAAGTCATATTGTGTTTGTAATTTTCTTTTATACTCTTTTCAATATAACATTTGTATTTACTCATGTTATTAAAAACCTTTTCATAAACATTTTCAATGACCGTATAATATCCCATCAAACCACATTTAACCATTCCTCTAACATTTCCCCCCCTCTTTTTTGGTTTTTATAGATAACACTACAGCAGACATCCCAATAGAATACTCTTTCCATATTTATACTGTTTCCTGAGAGAAGACTTCCATAGCTCTCATTTTTATTGGATGTCCATTAAGCCAGGGGTCTCCAACTGCCAGGCCATGGACTGGTACTGGGCTGCACATCAGGAGGTGAACGGTGGACGAGCAAGCAAAGCTTAGTCTGTGTTTGCAGCTGTTTCCCAGCACTAGCATCACTCCCTCAGCTCCACCTCAGATCATCAGGCATTAAATTCTCAATAGGAGTGTGAACCCTGTTGTGAACTGCGCATGCGAGGGAGCTAGGTTGCATGCTCTTTATGAGAATCTAATGCCTGATGATCTGAAGTGGAGCTGAGGCAGTGGTGCTAGCACTGGGAAGCAGCTGCAAATACAGATTAACATTAGCAGAGAGGTTTGACTCTACAGAGACCATAATAAGTCAATTGCTTACAAACATATCAAAACCCTATCAGTGAGTGGCAAGTGGCAGGCTTCATAGTGGCAACTGAGTTGACATACTTCAATTGTACAGCTGCACCTGGTGGCAGGCTTTAAGTCAGAATCGAACACTTATGTTAGTCCGTGCGTGGCCCACCCATTATTTACCACTTTGGTCCACGCCTCTTTCCTGCACTGGGCACTTATCTCAGTCACAGTGTTGGTGAGCCCACAAGCTAATCCTAGCCAAAATGAGTAAAGAACAAACATCACTAGAAAGCTTATTTGAAAAGGGAGAAAGACCCAACGATGAGACAGCAGAAGACTCTAAAAATGCCAACAAAAAAGAAGCTACATTTAAAAGAAAATACCAAGAGTCCTACTTAAATTATTAAGTTCATTGCAACAAGTGATTCACGTTCTCCAAGCCCACTTTGTTAATATGTGGCAACTGGCTATCCAATGAAGCCATGAAACCTTCAAAACTGCTTCACCACATGGAGACCAAGCACCCTGCATTAAAAGACAAGCCTTCGGAGTTTTTCAAAAGAAAAAAATGTGAACACAAAGAACAGAAGCAATTATTGAAGGCCACTACTTCATCAAATGTGTCTGCACTGAGTATCATTCTTAGTAGCCAAGCACATTTCTAGAGCTAAGAAGCCCTTTACTATTGGTGAAGAGTTGATCCTGCCTGCTGCTAAGGACATTTGTCATGAAATTTTAGGAGAGGCTGCAGTTCAAATGGCATGTGTTCCTCTTTTGGCTAGCACTAAAACTAGACAAATTGATGAAATAGAGGATACTGAGGCACGATTGTTAGGATTAATGAGTCACCTTGGTATGTAGTCTAGGTTGACGAGTCTACTGATGTTGACAACAAAGCAACAATGCTTGTTTTTGTGCGATATATTTTTCAGGAGGATGTGCATGGGGTTATGTTATATGGGCTTTTGTTGCCAATCAACACCACAGGTGCAGAACTATTCAAGTCTTTGAATGATTGCATTATCAGGAAAACCAAATTTGTCATTTTGTATCGGTATTTGCACAGATGGAGTGGAATGGCTTCCTGGTTTCACTTAATGGGTCAAACAGGTCGCTTCTGAATATAAAACTATACACACTGTTATCCATAGAGAAATACTGGCTACCCAAAAAATGTCACCCGAACTTAATGTTTTGCTGGATGTAATTACAATTATCAACCACATTAAAGTACATCCTTTATCTCATATCTGTTCATGTAGCTCTGTGAGGAGATGGATGCAGAGCACATACATCTTCTCTTATACACAGAAGTGAGATGGCTTTCTAAAGATAGATCACTGGCCAGAGTTTCTGAATTACGAGAGCCGCTCCAGAGATTTCTTTTAGAAAAATAATCACTGGCGGCACATTTCATTGACACAGAATGGATTGCAAAACTTGCTTACTTATGTGACATAGTCAACCTGCTTAACCAACTCAATCTCTCACTTCAGAAGAGAACGACAACTGTGTTCAAGTCAACAGATAAAGTGGCTGCATTCAAAGCCAAACTGGAATTATGAGGGCAACAAGTGAACATTGGGATTTTTGATATGTTTCAAATGTTAGCAAAGATTTTGAAAGAGACTGAGTCAGGGCCTTCTTTCTCCCAGCTGGTGCATGATCACCTATCTCAACTTTCAAAAGAGTTTGAGCATTACTTCCCAACCACAAAAGACCCCTGAACTGGGAAGGAATGGATCTGTGACCCACTTGTGAATAAGCCAGGTAAATCAACTTTGTCTGTGCTAGAAGAGGATCAATTGCTTGAGATCACAAATGGCAGTGGCCTTAAAAGTATGTTTGAGACAACTTCAAATCTCCATATGTTCTGAGTTAAAGTCAAGGTGGAATGGAATAGCCTGACATTGCCACAAAAGCACTGAAAAGCCTGCTTTTTCCAACATCCTGTCTTTGTGAAGGGTTTTCTGCAGCAACAGCAACAGCAACCAAAGTGAGATTATGGAGTAGACTGAACATAAGCAACACACTTCGGGTGTCACAGTCTCCCATCAGCCCCGATGGGACCGTCTAGTTGCAGAAACAAGCTCAGGGCTCCCACTGATTCTGCATTATGGTGAGTTGTGTGATTATTTCATTATATGTTACAATGTAATAATAACAAAGTGCACAATAAATGTAATGCTCTTGAATCATCCTGAAACCATCCTCCCGCTCTAGTCTGTGGAAAAAATGTCTTCCACGAAACCAGTCCCTGTTGCCAAAAAGGTTGGGGACCACTGCATTAAGTGGTTCCTCTAACTTTACTTAACCATTTACCTCTGATGCTTCTCAGTATCTTTTGAAGAATGACCTTTATGTCTCTTAACAACTATTATTATCTCTTTCCTGATGTCAAAATCTACATTTATTGTAGAAAAGTTGGAAAATACTCAAAAGCATCCTTTTACTCTATGCTTTTGGTCTTTTTCCATGCATCGTCAGTATGTTTTCTGTTGTCGTTTTACAGAATTGAGGACATAAGAAACAGACTGCTGTATAACTTTTTAACTCGACACCACATGCTGAGTATTTTCTCATATTATTAAATATTCTGCACCATGTACATTACTTTTCGAGTGACTCACTGAAACAACGGCTAGGGAAAATCAATGGCCAGAGAAATTGAGGTTCCCTGTACTGGAAAATCACTGTGGGTAAAGCCAGCAAGTTTCTTTTGGCTTGCTAAAAATCCTCATAACTTCCCCCATTGAAGTGGTACAGAGATGATAGCATCTGAGTCATTGTGAGTGCTGCTGAGCCCTACCCCTCCGCCAGTGGCAGGGGTTCTAAGCCACTTTTAAAGCAGTGCTTACTAGGTTGACACCATTCAGGCCATGTGAAATCATTAGTGAGTCATGGCATCCACTCTATAAGACAGCAGCATGGCCTGCAGTCAACATGAGAACATCTATTGACCCACAGGAGGCTTCCACATCTGCCCGTACTGGGCTCTGATTAAAAGAATTTGTTGTCTGAAGTCAGAGATTTTTCTGAAGGTAGAAGCATGAACTGTAGCCTTTAGGTCTCTCTGCCACACTCTGGCAGCCTGGTGTAGCAAAGAGGGCATGGTCTTTAGGGTCACACAGACCTAGGTTCACTTACTAGCTTGGTGGTCTTGGGCAAGTCATTTCACCTATGAGCCTCAGTTTTTCCTCTATAATGTGATGAAATGATACCTACCTCATGGAGTAATTCTGAGGAGCAAAGGAAAAACTACATGTACAAAGCACATAACAAAATGTCAGTGTCATCCTCTTCTCTCCCCTGCTCAGCCCAGAAGGCAACGTAGCCCAAAGGCTTCCCAGTATGGTTACCTTTTCTAAATGACCCTCCAGGCCCTCAGGCCCACAGTTCCTACATCTGTGCGTTGGCTCCCAGCTCTCTAATGGGGTAGTGTGAGGATGAGAATAAAAAATCCAAATTTATTGTCCCTCTTGCTGTGACGTTCTGGGGAATTCTGAAAGATAAGAAAACTGCAAGCATGTGCATCTCTAGTCTGTTGTAACTTGGCAACTTGATAGCAGAAGTGCAGAGCCTCCTCAGCATATGAGAAAATCAGAATTCATCTGCATAAAGCAGTTAAACTGTTGAACAAAGTAGCTCCCCCAAATCTTCCCAGTTTCCCCAATTACAGAAGGCTCTTGCTGTGTGATTCACACTGGCAGTGCCACATCTGCAAGTGTGATTAACTAGTGACCAGCCTTCCTTTGCATTCAGCATACTCTGAAAGCATGGCACCTTCTGGGTTTTTTCATTGTTTCTATTTGAACTCTCTCGCTGCAGCTCTGTCGAAACGCCTTACAAACCCTTTCCTTGTGGCCTCCACCTTAGCCTTGCACCAGAATAGAGAGATGATAGACCCAGACAAGTTCTGCAGCCTCTGCCACGCGACTTTCAACGACCCTGTCATGGCTCAACAACATTATGTGGGCAAGAAACACAGGAAACAAGAGACCAAGCTCAAACTCATGGCACACTATGGGCGGCTGGCAGACCCTGCTGTCACTGACTCATCAGGTAAGGGAGCCCAGCTCACACCAGAGCTGGATCAGGGCTTGACCACTGGGGCTCCCCAGACCACCAAGGCTATGCTTTTCCTCGACTTAGGTCTCCTAAGGCAGGCATGGCCAGCACAAATGCCTGCAGAAGCAGGCAGGAAATTAACTAAGGGGAAAAGCCCGGAGGAGAGATGGTCAGCTGAAGAGTGCATGCCTCCTCTAGCCAGCTCTAGCCAGTTTCTTACCATATCTTTCAGCTTTTCAAAAGAATCTAGAAGCCCGATTTTAATAAGAATCCTTCTGATTTTTAAATGTGCAACTAAATGTTTAAAATGTTAACCCCCCTTTGAGTTAGTTAAACCTAACTGCAAGCCTGGAATGATGCAAGCCAGACTGGACCTAGGGCCACCAGTTTGCAACCTCTGATTTAAACTCCCTGTCATCCACATTCCTTGTGTGAAGACCTCAGCAGCCTCTTCCAAATTTTAGAGTGTCCTCAGGGTCCCTCTCCCAGCAGTTGAGGCTTGTGTCTCAGATATAGCATGGTGAAGGAGACCATTCTGACTTCGAATATCAGCTGCTGCCATAACCTCAAGATGGCTGTCAGCATCACAGGAGTGAGCAGTCACAAAAAGCCCTCCCCATCACAGTAACTGCTCACCACCTACAGTAAGGGATGGAGAGAGAAGAGAGATTATTATTTTCTTTCATTCAGCCAGTCAATGTTTATTGAGCACCTGCTATGTTCCCTCACCGGGAGACAGTAGTGACCAAGACTGAAAAAAATCCTTGTCTCGTGGAGCCTGCAGGAATGTTGGCTTTGGTCCTCCAAGGCTTCCTCCCTGGGCCTCAGAGGTGCAGCAGCAGACTGTCAACACTTGAGGCTCCTGTAACATCCAGGTGTAGACAGCTCAGCCTCAGGGAAGCTGCTGCTCAGTCATCAGTGCTCTTCCCACAATCCTGGAGAGGTGAACACCCAATGCCGTAGAGGTTCCGGACCATATATGGGCAAGAGGAGGGATCACGACACTCTAACGACTCTCCAAAGCGGCCATACAACACAGGCCATCCATGCTGACACAGATGAGAAGGGTGCCAACCAGTGACTACGAACAAGGGGGAGCTCTTGGAGCGGGGTGCCAAAGATTGCTCCTCCGATGCCATTGAAGGACCCCACTTCACAAACCTCTTCAAAATTGGAGAGGGATGCCTGATACAGGCAGTTCCCATGTGCAGGCAGCACCTTCCCCTTTAACAGCATCAATCCCATATGCCAAGGAATCAAGAAGCCTCAGAACTCTGCTTCACAACATTCTCCTTTTTTAGCCTGTGACCAGTAGGACCAACATAGCACTCAGCTGGCAGGACCAGGGTTCTTGCAGCCAACCGTTTCTTATTCAGCCCTGCCTGGTCTGTCCTCATTATGGCTTGTCCACTGGCAGGACTCAGGTACTGCATTGTTTTGGGCTGCTTATCTTAACTTCTGTCCATTCTGTTCTTTCATTTCAAGCCAAAGCCCTTTTGTATCCACCCTCCATTTGTCTAAGGCTACTTTACTTTCATAATCCTAGAACATAGCCTTGATTTTTTTTTTCCTGCTTAAGACGTCTGACTACTTTAAAGGTCAGCCAAAATCTTCCATGAAAACCTAGGCAGAGGGGCAGGGGTATCATGTGCCCCTTTGATATTAATATATACATTATAACTTAAACCTCACAGCAACCCTATAAACAGGCATGGTTTTCCCACTTCACTAATAACGACAGTGAGACTCAGAGTGACTTGCTCAAGGACATAACAGCTGATATGACCTAATATTGATAAATGACAACATCAGCATGTGTCCCTAGCTCTGTCTGACTCTAAAACTTGCACTCCTGCCTCCTGCTTCCAGCTCTGAAAGTGCATACAGGAGGCTTTTCAGGTACAGAACATCAACAGAGGCACTGAGCCCACTCCGACCCCACCTTACTCACAGTGGTAGGGCATTTACCTAGGTATGCAAGCAGTGATGTCAGCTGAAAGGGATTCTGCCATAGCAAAGGATCGAGATTTGTTAGCAGCTTGACTTTTCCCTGCTGGTGTCAGTCGAGGCTTGTTTGTTCATTCCTTCATTTGTTCTGTCATTCATCCTACACTTAACCACTGGCCGCTGCAGTCCAGGCCTTAGGCTAGATGCTCTCACAGGTAATTACCTAATTTAATCCTCACAGCCACTCTTATGCAAGTTTGATTATCCCCATATTGCAAATGAGGGCAGTGGAAGGGCATCATCGAAAGGATGAAGTGATTTGTCCTGGGTCCCACACTAGGTAGCAACTGCAGCCCAGCACTGAAACCTAGGTTAGTTCTGTGTTGGGCCCAGAGAATGATTTCCGTTGGGCTCCTGGCAAGTATCTCATGACAAATAAGTGTCAAATGTGAGATGACTTAGAGTGTCCAGATCTCTCCCACCAGGGGTAGATGTGGCATCTACCAAGCAGATCAAACAAGACTTGGCATTCGCTTTATATTCCAGGCTCACATTTCTCTCAGTTACCCAAGAATACCAAACTAAAACCTGCATCTCATTCAGGCAGCCAAATCCTTCCAAACTCCAGAGTGCTCAGAAGCCCCTCTGGGCTACTGGAATCCTCTGCTGCACCCCTTTACTTTTTCACCCTACTTTAGGTCTTACCTCCTACCCAGAACCAGTCCACTTTCTCTGCCCCATGCCGATCCCCAGGTTTCTTCAACCTCTGTGCACAGGGCAGGTTTTCAGGTCTTATAAAATTCATATGTAGTCAAGAAATATTTGTTAATCTCTTTCCTAACATATGCCAGGCATTGTATATGTGGTGGTAAACAAGAAAGGTATTGTCCAAGTTCTCATGGAGCTTAGAGTCTACAGAGAAGACAGGCATTGAGCAAATAACAAGTATGACAAGCTTTAGAACAAGAAACAAATGGGATATGGGGGAGCAGAGATCAAGGAAGGCTTCCCAGAGGGCAAGGGGGATAGTGATGCTCGGGTGATGAGCAACTGTGCATTCATGACTTTGTGGGTTATATTAAGGATTTGGGCCTTTATCGTAAGAGCTCTGGGAAGCCATTGACAGTTTAAGCACTATTATATCACTCTGGTTACAAAGTGGAGAACAGTTCGGATTAGGGAGGAAAGGTAATGGGGAAAGAACAGCAGTGAGGCTGTGGTAGTAATTCATACTGGAGAAGATCGGAGCTTGGATTAAGGTAATAGTGGAGGAGGCAGAAATAGATGCATTCAAGATGTATATAGGAAATAATATTGTCAGGACTCGTTCATCAAACGTGGGAAATGAAGGAAAGGGAACAGTCAAGGATGATGCCCAGACTTAGTCTTGAGCAGTTCAGTGGATAACCAGGTTTCATCAGCTTTGAGTTTAAGATGCCCGTGAGATATCCAAGTAGAAATGTTAAAGAGGCAGTTGGGTATATAGGTCAAGACTTTAAACAAGGGGTAGGAGTTAGAGATATTGCCATTTTGGTAAGTCAGAAACTTAAATATTTGTAGTTGCATATGTTTTAACCTAATAGGTAGTAATTAAAATCAGGAGAATGAATAAGACCCCTTAAAAAGTTTAGAGAGAAGAGCTGAGGGTCTGAGATTGAGTCTTCTGGAAATATGGAATGCCAGTATTAATGGTGGAGGTCAGATAAGAGTTAGCAAGAGACTGAGAAGGAGGCACCAGAGCACAAAAATCAAAAGTGCACATGCTGAAAGCCAAGGGTGGGAGACGTTAAAGAAGGCATGAGTCACCATTTCTGTCAGGTGCTGTTGAGAGGTCAGATATGATGAGACCTCATAAGCATCCATTTTGTCCATGAAATTTAGATACAAGGAAGCCACTGCAGGCCTTGGAAGGGGCGCACGTGTGTGTGTGTGTGTGTGTGTGTGTGTGTGTGTGTGCGCGCGCGCGCGCGTGCGCGCGCACGTGCGCACTGGGATAGGTTAAAAGCAATTGAAAGGCAAGGAAATAGAGAAGCAAGTGTAAACAGGCCTCTCAAAAGCCTTGGCAGTAAATGGAAGGAGATATACGTGCTTTTCCAAATAAACCAGATGTTTAAAAATCAGCTCTAGTGACTTACAGTCATAAAATCACACAGGGAAACCAGAATATCAAACATGTAAAACAAAAAGCAGATGAAAATTTATATGTGGATCCTCGACAGATCTCAGTTGTCCCAAATGACTATTTGAATCTAGCTTATAGATGAGCAAATAATCTACTGAGATCTTGTACTTTACAAGAGACATAGGAGAGTCCCGAGACATGTAGTACAGAGGGAAGGCCAGGGGCCTCATGAACTAGAGGACAAATCCCACCTCTGACCCTGAGTCAACCACTTAACCTCTCTGGGCCTATTTCCTGCTCTGAAAAATGGAAATAAGCACCTATCTTGCAGGGTTGTTGTAAGAATCCAAGAGCAGGTTCCTCTCAATGCCTTTACTGTCTCTCACAATCTTTTGCACTGTCACTCTCACTCTCTGCCTCTGAGAGGAGACCATACTCTGTCTATGGAGTGTTACCCCTTTTCTAATAAACTTTCCTTTTGACTCTATTAAAAAAAAAAAATCCAGGACCATAAAATCCTGGCATGGTGCCTGGTGCTTAATAGAGAATGAGAGTGGGCTCTTGTAATCTAAGCATTAGTGATTCTTACCCATGGGTGGTTGTCACTCCCACACCAGCCCCAGGTCCCACTGCTGATCTCAGGGGGCGGGTGGTTCTGCTAGTCCACTATGCGTCTCTTCCCTGTTAGTGCTGAACCATGATTTCTGGCCTTAATGTCTAAAAATGACCTGAATTCTGATTGCAATAATTTTCTCCTTAAGTGCATTAAAGGATGTGTCTTCCAGAAAATACCTGATGATACAAGGGAAATAAATGTAGTTGGGAATATCGGCTAGCTTATTGGAATAGATGAGACTGTTGGTGTTCTCAGTAGCTACAGCTGCCATGGAAAGCAACCCTTTGCCAGTGTGACTCATGGAGCTCATAAGAGTGAAATAATAATAGTGACAAAAGCTCACATTTGTTGAACGCTTACTCTATGCCAAGTGTTTTTATTTGAATCATTATAATACCGCATAAAGCTGATACTAATATTAACCTCATAGGCAAGAGAAGTCCCACTTTTAGAAATGAGGAAACCAGAGTCTCAGAGAAGTCCCACTTTTACAAATGAAGGAACCAAATCTCAAAGAGGTTAAGTAACTGGCCTGTGGTCTTACATGTAAGAAATGATAGAGCTGGAATTTGAACATAGGTGATCTCACTGCAGAGCTGTGAGACATTAGGATGGCGGATGATTCAAAAAGTATTGGAACCAGAAGAGCTCTTGAAGTCATGTTGAAGTTCATGGTCTATATCAGGCACTTGGTAAATAATAGCTGATCATTATTATAAGTATTATGATTATGAGTTGTGGTATAATTGGTTTTAGTTGAGAAAGCTGAGGATCAGAAAGGAGAGGCCTTTTGAGTCACGCTTCTCTTGCTCAGGCCCACTTCCACGTCTGGAAGTGTACTTTCCCTTCTAATAAAACTTTTCTTTTCTACTGTAAAAGAGAAAAAAAGAAAGAAGGAATTTAGCCAAGGTCATATGAAGGCAGAGCTAGGAATCCAGCCCCCATATCTTGGCTCCTGTTTTGAGTCACGCTTCTCTTGCTCAGGACCACTTCCACGTCTGGAAGTGTACTTTCCCTTCTAATAAAACTTTTCTTTTCTACTGTAAAAGAGAAAAAAAGAAAGGAGAAGGAATTTAGCCAAGGTCATATGAAGGCAGAGCTAGGAATCCAGCCCCCATATCTTGGCTCCTGACCATATCTCTGCTAGACCATGTGGAGAAAGGCCACTTTGTCACTGGAGCAGCCCTAGTAGTGAGACAGGGTATCTGTGAGCCCCCAGGTAGAAAGATAGGTTGATTTTCATAACGGGCATTCTCATTAATTACTGTTATTGCAAGCCTAAGGATATGGGCACCTTCCCAGAGATCTCTCAGCGAACAGCATCCTTAATGAGGCCACTTAGCATAGTCAAGGTGGAAAAGACAGTTAACCAAATGTCACCTCTTCTTTCAATCTCTTATTTACTCAACAGACAGCTGCTCTGGACCAGGCTCAACGCTGGGACTGGACACGGGGGTGAGGAGGTTCCCAACTCCAGGGAGCATAGAGGCACACAGCATGTGCCCCCTGAGCATCGAGGCTTCTGGGATTGTCATCAGGGCCAACCACCTGACCTCACTCCACCCCTCTGTCCTCAGAAGGGCATTTGCATGCACTTTCAAATGCATCAGTCCCCAGGTCCCTTATTGGATAACTAAGCATCTTGACTTCTATGTGTGTTTCAGCCGGGAAGGGCTACCCGTGCAAGACGTGTAAGATAGTGCTGAACTCCATAGAACAGTACCAAGCTCATGTCAGCGGCTTCAAACACAAGAACCAGTGAGTAATCATCCTTTGAAGTCATAAGTCTGCAGCAGGAGCGCAGGGCTTTTGAATCAGAACAAAGCCAAGTACTCCTTGGCTAAATGGGAGTCCTGACAGCTTTTTCTGTCAACAGAAGGTCAGTCAGCAGAAATAAGTGTCTCCTCTGTGTGTTTTTCTCCCATCAGCTTCTCAGCCTTTGGACCTCCTGGGCTGAGGTTTTGGTAGAGAAGCATAGGCGATTTCCTCCGTGGCCTCCTAATAGTACTTGGTTTTCCTCGCTTTTGGCAGTCTGACTAGGGAAGCCTGTTTCACTGACCTAAAGACTTTCGTATTCACTGCCATCAATTATGTGGCAAGAGCTCCCTCTACAGGCCATTATCAAATATGACCAGGTTCTTTCATTCATTGATCAAAGATTTATTGGACACCCTGAATGGTGACCAGGACAGACCCAGTTCCTGCTCTCAAGACCTTGCATTCTGATAGAATACAAAAATATAAGTAAACAACAAGTAATTACAAATTATGAGAAGTGCTTTGAAGGGAAGAGGTGAACAGAATTATCTATTCATGATAATCTTGAAAATGACTGTCATTCCTCAGTGCCTGTTCTGTTACAGGCCATATACCAAGCAAATTCTCTCGGGCAATCTTCAGACAACCCTGGGAAGAAGGGATCGTCATTCTTATTTCACAGATACAGGCAACCACCATTAAAACTGAACCTGTGCTGTGAGGCAGAGCCATAATTCAGACAGGCTTGGCTGGCTCACAGCATCCTCCTCCAGGGCATCATGCTAACAAGGAGGTTGTGGCACCATGTGATATGAAGAGGCTAGGACCCAGCCGGGGAGGGCCCATGTGGTTCTGTCTCTTTCTCTGAGAAGGCAATTGTCTAGTGTGGGCAGTGCCACAACATAATCTTCTGAGATAGGAATTATCCCCATTTTACAGATGAGGAAACTGAGTTTCAAGCAGGCAAGGGTGCCAAAATGATTGCTTTGATTTTGGTAGTTGGTTCTGCATTATTCACAGAGCCAAATGAATTAAAGGTGGTAGAAGTAGAGTGTTAGAGTCACAAATGTCCTTCGTCCTCTGTGCTCTGCCTGAGTCTCCTCCCTGCACTGCAGCGGGCCTTCCTCTTTATTTGTAGATTCTTTCACAGAGAGAGCTCTCGAGATTTCTCTTAGATACAAACTTGAGACAAGCCCCAGCAACCTGGCCTGGGGCTCACTCCCAGTTCAGCATACCTTCAGCTATGGCACCTTGACTGGTGGCAACTTCACAAACAGTCTGGTGCCAGCCAGAGCCCTGTCTTGGGGCGACCCAGACTTGCAAATGCTAGTGGTATTTCCTTTTCTTCCTGTACTTTCCAGCTATGTCACCTTGGGCGAGTCAGTAAACCTCTCTGAGCCTCCAGTTCCTCTTCTATGAGATAATAGCTACAATTTGTTGAACATCTAATTTAATCTTCATTTGATTCACACTAGCAGCTCAGATTTAGGACCCCCCTTTTCCAACCCAAGGAAACCTAATGTCGGGTAGATTAAGTGACTTGCCCAAGATCACGTAGTTATTTGGAGTTAGACCCGGGACCCAAGCCTCTGTGACTCCAAGGCCCATTCATTTTGTTCTGCCACTTCCAAATGGAGCTCATTATTCTCACCTTATGAGATGATGCGAGAGTTAGAGATGATATATTTGAAGTGCTAATCCCAAGGAGAGCTATTAGAGATGAGCTTTTATTCATGCAACAAATGTTTATTGAGCACCTATTGTATGCCCGTCAGGCCTTGATCAAGTCACTGGGCTGCAGTAAAAACCAAGACTAATGCTGCTCCCTGATCCTTTAGCAGATCCTAAACAAATCCATGAACAAACAAGACAATATCAGGTGGTGCTAGGTGCCCAGAGAGTGACTAGAGAGACACTGTAGATTTGGTGTGAGAGGTACAGTGGTCATTCTGTACCATTCAGGTCATACAGGGCCCCGTAGGCAGAATAAACAGTTCAGTTTCGTGGAAAGACATAGCTTCAGTCCTGGATCTCCCACACTTATTGTGGACAGGTCACTTACATTTTCTGAACTTTAGTTTCCTCATTTGTAAAATGGGGGTGCTGTTCCCCGCACCTTGCAAAATTGCCATGAGGATGAAATAGGATGCTGGAAGGAAAGCTCAGCACTGTGCCTAACATGCAGTGGCCCTCAGTAAAAGAGAGCTGTCCTGCTTATCACTCCGAGGCCCTGGAAAAGCTGTACTACCATTAGAATAAGCTACCTGGAGTGCCATTACAACCACCACACACTGACCCTGTGCCTTTGTTCCTTCTCAAATTACAGGTCACCAAAAACAATGGTGTCACCCCTGGGCCAGATTCCAATGCAAAGACAACCCATTCAGAAAGACTCGACTGCCTTGGAAGACTAGAGGTGTTTCTGTTCAGCACCCCAGGTTGAAATAGCCATGAGCCAGCCTCCCATGACCATGACCAGGGTCAGCCCTCGGCTCCTTCTTCCTCCTCTCTTACATTGGCCTGAAGCAGGAGTGGGCCACAGGCATCCTCTGATCAGTCCAGACAGATCTCCTTTGGATGGGCCCTGTAGGTCAGGACAAAGGGAGTGGGGATCTGGGGAGGACTTGATGTCTCATAGGGTGATAGTTTAAAGGATGGCCTTTCCCCTTCCCCAGCCCTACTAGGCCATGTGTCAGTGAGGCTCTGGGCCTGTCTCCCATCCAAGTCAGTTTTAGACAAGTCCCTGCAGCTAAAGGACTGAGCTCCCCGGGCTCGAGGCAGCTCCAGTGAAACCTGGCGCTTTCCCACCAGACTCTGGCCTAGGCAGGAAAGGGCAGAGGGAAGTAGCTGCCACATGGAAGCTTAGAGCTAATGTGACACTCCCCCTCACCCAGAAAAGTGCAAGCTTTCCTGAGCCTGGGACTTGATGCTGGCCAGTTGTACAGGTTTCTGCCCACTGTGAAGTTTCCTCCTGGAGCAGTGTCAGCCCCAGCAGAGCATTGCTGTCCCTCCTTCCCCTTCTCCACAGTTCCTGAATGGTGCTAAGGACCTGCAGCAACTGGAGACAAGCTAGAGCTGAAGGAGGCCTCAGTACCCAGTGAGATCACAGAAGGCTCCAGTTGGGGCCTTTCCCTTCCTCTGTCAGAGGAGCTCTGACCTGGGGACTTGTGGGAAAGTCCCCACATGCAAGTTTCTTTGATGGCTCGCTGCCCTTATAGGCAAACTGCCTTGTGTCAGCCAGCCCGGAGGCTCTTTGCTGCCCTTTGGCCCCGCTGGCTCTCCTTCCCCTGTGCAGCAGACCACCGCCCAGGTTGCTATGGTGCTAGCCATCTCTCATCACCTACCGGGAGGCTCCTGGGTGCCCACGAGCAGAACGGGCCCCAGGAAAGAAAGGAGGGCTGGCGCAAGTTGCCGCAGTGAGCAATCAGATGCTCCCCAGGCCCAAACCTGGGTTTCCCCAACCGCCTGGTACTTCACTGGGAGCGGGCTTGTAGCTTTCAAGCAGGAATTCTAGGGAGTGGCACCATCAGAGGCCCCTCTTTGTTGCCTCAAAGGAGCCCCTAGCTGCTCTCATGGCCTCTTCCTCCCACTCGCTACCCCTCTCCACCCCTCGCCTGTGAAATGCCTTTAGTATCGTATGTGGGTGTGTGGGTGTGTGCTTATGCTCTGTCTCTTGGTCACTGAAGCATCTAAATAAAGAATTCTCCTATGAGCCTGACTACAACTTAACAGACCTGGGATTTGGAGCTGTATTGCCATTGGATGTAGTATGTATGTCTTTATCCTTCACCCAGGATCCTAAGTATTGTTCTTAGGAGTCGGGACAGAGAGAGACATCCAAATAGCTTGGCAGCCCTGTGGGAGCCTTCCCAGATACCCTAAACTCAATACAACCTCATCTGCTCATCCATCTCCTCCTGTGATGGGGGGCCTCATGGGGATCTTTGGAAGGTTTAAGCTAGTAATCTACTTGCTTCGAGAGGATCATTCTGGCCACTATGTATATAAAGAATACTGGGGAGCAGGAAAGGAGACCGACAAAGAGGCCAAAATGAAGGCTGTGTCTCATATGGCTCTGTCTGCACTAACCTCTTCAGGGCAGAGACCTAGACTTGGTCGTTCCCACTTCCTTAGTGTACAGAGTGGTGTGTCATGGGTGTTTGCGGAATGAATGCATGAATGAAGATGCATAAGGCCTTTTCTCTCTCAGTTTTTACACAGAGATGGGTTTGTTCCATGGAACTTATCATAGGCCTGGTAATTCTTGGAAGAAACTTTTTCATGGCCCAAAAACGAGCTGGGAAGTGAGAGTATGATGGCCTCAGGAGTCCTTTGTCCAGGCTTTGTTTCAGACAGCCAGATCTGAGGAAGGTGCCTGGGCAGCCTCAGCTCCCATTCTTCACTCAGTAAACTGCTCCTGGCCAGCCGGGAAAGACCCTACAGAATCGGCCCCCACGGTGGGTTCTGGCACTCAGCTTCCAGAGCCCAGACTGCTTAGTAGTTTCTTCAGAGCCCTTCTCCCTGACACATGTCAGAATCAGCCCCATCTATCAGACAAGGAAGCGAAGAGCAAAGGGGCAGGTGGGCTGTCATCCCATGCCATATCCTTGCCCTGCAGCACCTCTCTCTACATTCAGGAGTCCCTGCCGGCTATGTGCCCAGCCTTGTTGGCATGGGGACACAGGATACAGATGAGCACTTTTCCTTGGGGAACTCACACACAGTTGAAGACCATGATGGCGGTGGTCAGAGGGTCATACTGGGCACTGTGGGAATGCCTAGGATGCAGGCACTAACTCAGCCAAGGGTATGAAAAGCTGGCGAAGCTGAAAAACTAGCATTTGATTTGCATAACCTTTTGGACTAAGTGATGATACTCTTGTTTTATAGAAAATAAACAGGCTCAAAGGGGTGCAGGGATTTACCCAAGGCCTTACCACTAAGAAGCAGCAAAATGGGGAGTGGAACCCAGTTCTCTAGATTCCTATTCCAGAACCCTTTTCAAACAAGGACCAGGGTCCTTTCCACATGAACCCTGGACCTGCCTCACCCACCTGGCAGGGCCGTGGTCTCACAGAGCAAGCAGCCGCTCAGGGCAGGGGTAATAGCAGCACTCACAACACACTTCAGACAAGTCTCAATGGTGATTTTATATTCCAAGCCCCCTCTTACCTCTCATCATTTTACCCAAGATTCGTAGTGTATTAGACTTGAGTTATAACTGTAAGAAACTGACAGTTGTTACCTAAAAAGAAATTGATTCAGCTAATGAAAATTTTTGGTACAGAGGAGGCTAGATTTAAATTCTGACAAAGTGTCATCAGGAAGAATTTAATCTCGCTGTGCTTTTTTCTGTGTGGCCTCTTCCTCGAGCAGACTCTCCAAAAGGTGACGAGGTGGCCACTGGCAGCTCCAAGCTTATATCCTGATAGATTGGCAACTTCAGTGGAAAGAACATCTTTCTACTAATTCCAACAAAAAATTCTGAGATTGACTCATTATCCAGCTTGGTCCTGTTCCCATTCCCTAAACCAATCACTGTGGCTATGGGAAATGGTGCTGTGATTTGGGGCCTGTAAAGATGTGAGTTCCACCTAAAACATTGACCTGCAGAAGGAGAGATGTGTCCCTAAGAGGAAAAAGGGTGGGGCTCCCTCCAGACTGAAGGAGGAGGATGGATACAGGTGGGCAAAACATAACTGTTGTCAGTCATACCCAGAAATTGTCTTTAACTATTTTTTTCCTAACTTTTTGAGATACAGCATACATTTAGTAATGTGTGCCAATTTTTAGAGTCTGGTTTGATGAATCCTCATATGTGTATACATCTGGGCAGTCACCCTCCAGATCAACATACAGAACATTGCCAGCTCCCTAGAAGTTTCCTTCGTTCTCCTTCCTAGTCAGTATCCCCCAGAAGGAAACACTAATTTGACCTCTATGACCATAGTTTAGTTTTGCTTGCTCTTGAATTTTATAAAAATATACATCTTCTTTTGCTCAATATTGTCTGAGGTTCATCCATGTTATGGTGTGTATCAGAAGTTTATTTTTTCATGCTGTGTAGTAGCCCATTATATGACTATCCCACAATTTTGCCATTCTACTGTTGACAGACAATTGGGTTGTTTCTAGTTTTGACTATTACAAATAAAGCTGTTGTTAAAAGTTTTGTATGTGTCATTTGGCGCACATGTGCACCCGTGTACCCTGGAGCGGAATTGCCACATCATAGAGTAGGTGTATATAGCTTGTCTAGATACTGCCACGTGGGTTTCCAGAGTGGTTCTACCAACTTATGCTCCCACCTGCAATGAAAGTGAGAGAGTTTCACCTGCCTCACATCCTTGTCAGCACTTGCTATTGTCGGTCTTTCTAATTTGGGCCATTCTGGTGGCACCCAGGAATTTGAGTTCATAGCAGGGCCCCTCTTACTTTCTTCACCCCTGAGCTCAGGTTTGAATTTCTCTAGCCTGGAATGGTCTCTGATGTCAGTGCCCAGGACCCATGATACAATTCAGCAGGTAAACATCAGAGGGACCCCCTGCCCATGGCTGCGGAAGCCAAGAGAAGTCTCACAGAGGCAGTGAGAGAGGCAGTCTAGTGCAGGAGCAAAGAACACAGACTCTGGAGTCGGGCAGCCAGGGTTCAGATCCCAGCTCTGCCACTGTGGGGCTATTAGTTGCCCTGTACCTCAGAGTGAGACACTGGTACCTACCCTATAGGGTTATCATGGGACTTAAAAGAATAGCTACCTAGGTAAGGATTACAGTGCCTGACATATGATAGATGCTGTGTAAGTCATGACTGCTGCTGTTTCCATTACTGGCCCGAAGTAAGCTCTGGGTCTCCCTGGGAAGGTGAGTCCACAGGTAGATGGCATCTGCCACAGCCCTCTGTATTAAGACTCAATGATTTATGAAATGCTGGAAACTTAATTCAATCTGATTGAGGTGGGGGGAAGGCAACATATTGGCCACAGGTGGCTCTTCCTTGGGCTCCCACAAGAAGTCACCTTCTACTGCTAGGGCACTTTGGTTTATTCCAGGTACCACAGGCTCTACAGCCAAGGACACCCGAGGAGAAAACTAAAGGAATCATGCATATAAAGCTCGTAGTCCAGAACCAGATGCAAAGCAAATGTTGGGGTGTAACAACTGTCAGTGCAGACACAAAGCTGTGCACATATCCATATAAGCAGCCATAAAGAGCATATGGGACACTGGTCTGGGATTCAGGGTCCCTGGGCATTGGTCTGACCTGCCACCAACTTCATGTGACGTGAAGCCTTGATACTGTCTGAGAAGTGGATGTTAGAAGAAATCACAGTTCCCAGCCAGAGCCCAGAAGAGGTAGAGATGGACAATTAGGGGTCCTTCTCAGAGCAGGTCAAGAACAGATCCTTCCTTCTCAGCGGCCCCTGCCAGATGAGCTGCTCTCACCCCAATCAAACCTTCTGCCAGGTGGTCACTAGCGTCAAATACAACTTCTCCCTCTGACCATCTGCCCACCTAACAACCTCACCCACTTTGTCAAGCCCACAGTACAGAGAGGGCAGACACATCCCTGTCCTGGCACTACCTGCTTCATCTGTCCAGGAACTTCAAAACATGGAAAAAAACCTTTCGGTCCTGTAAATGTGACAGTGCTACAGCGCGAAGACCCCAACAGCCACTAGGTGGAGAACGCTCTCCTCTTTTGCTGGGCAAAGTAGACCAGCGCTAGGACCTTGCAGTTTGATTTAATGCAGAAGAGAATAGGGTGACTTATTTCTGAGTCCCAAAGGCCACCTGCCCCTTTCTCAGAATATTTCCCTCTGGAGCAACCAACCTCTGTTTGAGGGCTTTAATACAGTCACCTTCCTGGGAGTACACATAATATCTGGTCTACGCGTCAGCATTTCTGTAACTCTTCCATTGGATAATATCTCTGCTCCATTCTTAGACCCTGTGGTTCTGAGAGACTGACCCCGCACCCTGATTCCAGGGGAAACTGTGACCCAGGACCAAGAAATCAGAATCATAAGTCTGGAGCTGTCAGTAGCTACCTTTGCTAGCACATAAAGACAGTCTGGTTAAGCCAACTCAGAGGAAAAGAGGGCTAAGAAGAGACTAATTTCTGATGAGCACCTGGATCCAACCATACTGAAGGTAATTAATTCTCTCAGGACTTTTTAGTTATGAGTCAATAAATTCCCTTTTTCCTTAACTCAGTTTAATTGGATTTCTATCACAATCAAGAGTTCTGCCCAATACTTGCTCCAGCTCCTCATCAACCTGGAGACCTCCATTCATCTTGAAAAGATCACTGACCCCCAAGGCTGAGTCAGCTGCCTTTCCATGCTCCCAGATGCCCTGTACTCCTCAGGCATTGCCTGTAATATACTGTATTATGATCTGTTTCATTTCCTGTCTCCTTTTCTAGACTAGAAACTCTTTGAGGGCAGGACCTGGGTCTTATTCATCATACTAGGTCCCTGGTGCCCCGTATAGAACTGTGCCTGTTTTAATAACCAGTTGATGATGGAGTAAATTCATGAATAAATGAATAAAAGTGGGTGTGAGCTGGTAGGAGCTGAGCCTCTAGTGGTTATCAAGGTCAAAGGAACCGGGTTGCTAGGATAGGAAAAGAGTTAGTCAGGAGATCTAGAAGAAATGGGTTGTGGGGTCTAGTCATTTTAATAATGGTCTCTCATGAATCTTTGTCTCCCTATGTCTGTGACTGTGTCACTCCAGCCATCAAGATGAGGAGTCCCTTGAATCTGGGCTGGCCTGAGACTTGCTTCGATCAGAAAATGCAGTGATATGACATGTACAACTTCCAAGTCTCTGACATGGGCCTTGCAGCTTCCACTCCTGCCTCTGTGAAAGGAAATGCAAGCTAACCACGTGGAGATGAGAGACCACGTGACGAGAGAGGCCAGCAGCCAGCTCCATACTTGTGAAGGAGGCCATCTTTGACCCTCCAGCACAGTAGAGCCACCAGCATAAGTGGCCTCAAGAGAGACCAGCAGAAGAACTGTCTAGCCCAGCCCAGTTAATCTAAAGAATCATGATAATAAAGTGTTTGTCAATGTAAGAAACATCCCAACCCGTAGAGAGTTTATTTGAGCCAAACTGACAATTGCCTGAAGAGCAAAATTTTAAATGCTCCAGAGAATTACTTTTGCAGTTTCTTTTATGCATCTGAGATTAAGGAGTTGAGGGGCGGGGGAGAGGTAAAAAAGATTACATGAAGATGAGAGAAAGCAAGGCAGGGACCAGATTACAGGATAGTTAAAATTATGTGCCCCCTTGGGGTGGTTACACCTTCCAGGGATGTCACTTCTGCCATTTCAAGTGTGTGTTAACCTAGATGCACAAGAACAATGGGCAGAGCTGGCTTAAAAATCCTTTCACTGAAGAAGTGATAGATCCAAGTCATGACCATCCACCATGACTTGCCCAGTTAAGGATTCATGGTTTATTACAGCATCCCTTTTTCATCCACATGTTTTAAATCACTAAGTTTTGGGATGGTTTATTATGCAACAAAGGCCCCCAGAATAACCAAGTATAGTAGCCATACCTTGTTTTTGGCCTCCTGGTATCCATTTACCCTTCTTCCTAAAATAGAATTTCCTGGAGGAGCCCCCCCCTCAGCTCATGTGCTCTGAGTGTGGATGCCCTCCACCCTACGGTTTCTGCTAGAATGGTTGGGAAGGAACTGCTAAATGGGGAGGTTTGAACCAGAACTGTTGGGTATCCTTCTTTGTCACCTCTTGGGAAGCATCTGCTGGAGAATGGAGTCATAGGAAGGAAAGTAGAAGAGAGAATGAGTCTTGATCCTGCCATTCCTGAAGACTTTGCTATCCCTTGTCCTTTAAAATTGTGTAAGCCAAAACATTTGCTATTTTGCCTAAGCCTATTTGAGTTGAGATCTCTGTTACTAGCGACTGCGTGAGAATGTTCCTTGAGGGTGAGGAAGTTTGACAAAGCTGAGCAAGTTCCAGGCAGAGGATTATTAGAGTAGCACAAAGGTCTCTAGAGAGTGTGGGAAAGGGAATTTATTTTTCTTCAGTCTCTACCATATGCTGGGGCGCTAGAATAAGACACAACCTTCGTCCTAGAGGACCTCATAGGTACAAATGACTCATTGCAATTGTGATAAAGTGCTGCAAGGGAAAACGCCGCTGCGGCAGAGCATGTAATAGGAGAACTGAGCGTGGGGTGGGGAGCGGCAAGGAAGGTCCCCCTGAGGAAGCACATGCAAACTGAGAGGTGAAGTCTGAATAGAAATTAGTCCTGGGGTGGGAGGGATGGAAGGGAGGAGAATGTTCCAGGCAGAGGGAACAGCATGTGCCAAGGTCCTGAGGCAAGAAGATGCTTCTCAAATTGAAGGGGAGTGAATGTATCACTGGGTAAAGAGGGGGACTAGCAGGAGCCAGATCCCTCAGGATATATTAAAATTTTCAGCAGAAACAACAGAAACAAACTCCAACTGGTTTAAGTTCTCAGAACTTCCAAGAGCACTAAAGAACTGGGCTGGGGCCACATAACCAGCATCACAGAACGGGTTCAGAAAGGAAACCATTGTCTCCACCAACTCCAGGCACTGGACACTGCTGCCTGTGCCACTAGCCCAGCCAGCCTAGACATTGGACAAGATCTCACAGCTCCGTGCCCAGCAGCTCAGTCTTGTTACAACAAGACTGAGTCTTGTCTTGTCTTGCTCCCATCGGGGACCATTTCTCCTGGACCTCTCAAGCCCCACATCTGGGCATCACTGGTTTGCTGGAGTCCATGCTGTGAATTGACAGAAACTAGGCCTCAGTTGGAAGAGAAACTGGGGGAATCGGTGGCATTTTTAGCTTGTCATAAGAGGTGAACTCTGCCACATAAAGTGGGGATATTCCCTAAACCTAGCAAAAGGGTTCAGATGACAAACACCAGGGTAAGATCTGGTCTTGTGGTGGTTCTAAAATATGTCCACAAAATCTCTATATTTCTCTCCTCAAGAGGTCAAGTTTAATCTCCTCTCCCTCCGCCCCACTCCCTGCCCCCATGTGGGCTGTAATTAGTGTGAACATAAAAAGGGACATACAGAAAGTAACCTCACAGGGTGATCTGATCATAAATTCCTAACAGGTCCCTCAGGGCAGGTCCTGGTGGGTTGTCACGCCCCAGGCA